CATCGACTTCGTCCATCTGATCCGTCTCGTTTTGTTGGTGTGGTAGGTTGATTAGATGCTGAAGATTCTCTTTCCTTCGACGTAGGCGTTGTAGTTTTCTCATACTCATCTAAAAAAACGAATCATTTATAGATAAGTACAACAAAAAAGATTGGAATCTATATCTAAACAATAGCTGTAACATAATGTTAGATATTTCTTCCGAATTTTAGACTATTATTAAGAACTCAGAATGTCGATATAATGTATTTCCTAATGATGTTTGAACATCTAAATCAAAAAGTTCCTAAGAAGAACTTACTAGTAATCCTCTACCAGATAGTTTAAATCTTGTTGGGAATTATTTCGATCGATCGTAGATTTTTTCAATATTTCTGGTTCTCCACAAATGATAGGTTTTAGTTTTCCATTTATGAGTTTAGTTAACATTGAAATAGGTTTAATTGAAGAAACGAATGTTGACAATGGAAACTCTTCAGTCATTTAAAAAATAGCACCTAATAGTAGATACCGAGGCGACACCTATAAAATACGGAAAAGATAATTAAAAGAACGCCTTTGATCCATTTTGTAGTAATCATGACGATCAGCACGATATATATATAGAACGGCAAGCTTTTCATTCAAGATGAGTTAAATACCTAAACATTAGCAGCTAGTGAAACTTCTGAACTACTAGCGAAAACCAACATCACTACATGTTAATGATGAATTCCATTATTTGCTCATGTCATGATAAGAGGATACATCTAGGTGATTCAGATGTTGCGATCTCGTTTTTTTGTTAGATTAAGGAAAGGTATTTTAATATATCATGCAGGAAAGAGAACTTGATTTATGTAAACCTATGCCATGGAACAATACGAGATTTTCATTTCAGATGGAAATCGATGGTTTGAACCAAAACGTGACTCGATTCCTGGTACGATGTAACAAAATCGTAATCTAAAACTTCAATTGTTTCAGAAGGACAATACTAATGTTGTAAACATATCAGATTTCCTTCTTTTGAATTATTATCATTTTCAAGAAAAAAAAAAAAAAAAATTATAATATTCTGATGAATTTGTGTTTTCATTTTCTTAGTTCTTGAATGCACCGTTAGAGGACTGAAAAAACAGGTGGAGGATTAATGGAGTTCAATAGGTACATCTACTAAGACAATCTAAAGTAACATTATGTTCATCACCAGTAACAAGTGGGTTTGCATTTAATTGCCATTTAATTATTCTTAAATCCACGGTTCGGATTCATCGACAAGTCTTGGAATTAGATCCGAATCTGATCGGATAAAATGGAGAGAATTGAGTATTTATAAAAAAATATTAAAAGAACATAAATTAAAACCAAAGGGATTCCTATTCATCCACAGTACAATACAATAATTAAAAAAGTTATTGACTGTGATAGAATTAAACTAATCTGTTGTAAATCAATCATTTATTGTTTATCATTTACAACAAAAAGATTGGAATCTATATCTAAACAATACTTCGTATCTCTCTTTAGATATTTCTCTCCGAATTTTTAGACTATTATTAAGAAGACAGAATGTCGATATATCTGTATTTGTTAATGATGTTTGGAACATCTTAAATCAAAAGTTCCCTAAGAAGAACTTACTAGTATTACAAGGTGTATTAGTAACAGTAGTAAACTTGTCCCAATCATTCGATCGATCGTATATTTTTTTGAAAACACAACTTTTAACACGAAAAAGGTACTGCTAGTTTTCCATTTATGAGTTTAGTTAACGTTGAAATAGGTTTAATTGAAGAACCTAACATGACAATGGAAACTCTTCAGACATTTAAAAAAATAGCCTAAGGAGTAGATACCGAGGTTAGTATAAAATACGGAGCTGATCAAACCATCAAAAGAACGCCTTTGATTATTACTAGTAATCATGATTTCGATCAGCACGCGCAATATATAGAACGGCAAGCTTTTAAGTCAAGATATATTAAATACCATTTCATAGCAGCTAGTGAATTCCTGGCTAAAGCGAAAAAACCTCTTAATCCAGCTACGTGGAATTCATTATTTGAGGAATATGTCCTATCAGAGGATACATCTTCTGATTCGGATGTTGCGATCTCGTTTTTTTAGATGAGTATGAGAAAACTACAACGCCTACGTCGAAGGAAAGAGAATCTTCAGCATCTAATCAACCTACCACACCAACAAAACGAGACGGATCAGATGGACGAAGTCGATGGCCACAGTACTGCTGTCAAACGTTTGCGGTTCGAGGAGTTGAGCATCACGATGACGACAGCCATTGATAATCTAAACGTTCAATTGTCCTCAGCTGTTTCATCTGAATTATGTACTAATGTAAATAAACATATCAGATTATTACTTTTGGAATTATTGCATCATTTTGAGAAAAAAAAAAAAAATTATCAAATATATTCATGATATTTCTGTTTTCATTTTCTAAATAACGTATGTGAATGCATGTCGTTAGAGGACTGTTACCCAAAAGGTGGAGGATTAGATGGATTAATAGGCATTTGAGTAAGACAACTCTTCAAGTAACATTAAGTCATCACCATCATGTAACATTAGGGCCCAAACATATCATATTTCCTATAAATTTACCATTCTATTAAAAGGCATCCACGGTGTCGTAATTCTGATCGACAGTAGTCTTGGAATTAATTTCAACCGGTATAGCATGCATCGGACGTAAAGATGGAGCAGAATTACGTATATTATAAAACTATTTAAAGAACATAAATTAAACCAAGCGGGATTCCTATTAATCAATTGAAAACCAAATGTATCGCCATCAGATAACATTTCCATGCACCTGTATTATATATACTAACTATCTGTTGTAAATCAACCAGTTTTCTTTTGTTTATCATTTAAATCTACACCAGTCGAAATGCTTCCACCATACGCATGGTAATTTACGATAAGTAATACATGGTGCCAAACGACCTTCTGCTCGAGTTGATGGAATATTTTTTGTAAAATTTACATTAGGTAAAGAACTAGTATCAAAAAATCCCCACATCATTTGTTGAAATAAAGCCATAAGACTTATGAGTCAAAATATTATATTATCCACGGACGAGTATTAAACGTAGTATTAGTAACAGTAGCTTTTTGAACTTGTCCCAACTCATCAGTAATAAGGTTTATATAAGAAGTTATTCTGAAAACCACAACTTTTAAAAAAAAATGTTTAAAATTTTCAGCTTAGATATGTTTCTAATTCTGAACATTAGTCATATGTTTCTTGCATTCAGATAATTATAAGGTATATCAACCATTCGGAATTTCATATCTAAATGTATTGTATTATCTATTCATTTTTGCAGTTAATACATCAAATCCACCCTATTTTCATGAGGAATAAATGTAGAAAAATCTACTGAAATAATAAATGGATGATTGGGAAGCATCACCTATTTTTAACAGGTTGATCACCCCCTTCAACCATGCAGCACCACCAGGTGAAGGACCCACATGTGGGTCACCCATTTCTGAAAATTTGGATCAGAAGAATCAGTACGTAAATATTTTCTTCGACACCCTCGCATTTTTCTGATTCCTGAAAATCTATTTTTAAACGTTGAGACGTTCGTGAAACGAGGTTCGATCCGAATATATAACGTCTAATAGAAGGGAAATAATAATAATTTTAAAAAAAATCGAAACTAAAAGCAATACTACTAAGAGTTATCTGTTGGAATGTAAAGAATGAGGAATTTATAATCTGCCTCATAGTAGTTAATATGTGAAGTATCATAATCTAAATCATTGAAATCTCGGTACGCATCAATGTCATTCAACGGTTCACTGATCAAAATCATTCCAAAAAGGACCAAGTATCTAGTACCTGGAAATTTGATGTTTGAAACCTCTAATTCGGATTGAGAACTTTTCAGCACTATATGTTTTATGATAATCATAACGGATGCATTCCATGGATGTTTATAATGTTGTCTCGTTACTTGAGTAGTTCGTCATCGGAATTTTCTTCATTCTCTGTATCAGCTAAAGAATGGTGGAGAGAGAGAGGAGTTAGAGAGTGTAGGTTTTCCCTCTTCAAATAGATTTGAAAGAACTGTCCATATTATAAATCTGGAAAACGAGAAACAAATAACGGGTCGCTACGCTCACACTTTTTTTAAGGTACTGGATAAAGAAAGACAAAGCTGTAATAAAAATGTCGAATTCTGCCGACGTAGTTACTATAAAACGTCTTCTTTTATACATCCCTAGTATATCAATAAATCAATATATCAAGATGTGAGAATAAATCATCCACCATGATCATGTAATATATATATTCTATATAAGCCCAAACAATATCATATTTCCTGGATAAACTATGTTTATTCAAATTAAAAAGCCTTGACCTAAATTCATGAAGTAAATAAAATTATTATGGGCATGCCATAGGGTGAGCCTCAATATATGCAAACATGACTCTCTTGGGTGAGAAATGGGGCCTTGATTCATGGGGTTATAGTATTAACCATGATATGTCCCATTTAAGACTTTCACAGACTGTTTTTAATATAAAGCTGACAGAGAAGTCAAAATCCATTTGTCTTCATGGTAATCTAAAATATTCCTAGTAACGTATAATGAATTCCAAACTTTAATTTTGAGTTCTATCTCTATTCTTGGTAGTGCGTTCGTGAACCCAGTGGAAACAGGTCGTGCAACTAATTGAGTTATCCCTACATATGGACAGTGGAAATAAAACAATCTACCAACGTAGATTAAATAAACAGTTAATTTCGTAATTCCCTGTAGGTTACCCGGACTGATATACACCTGATGAAGGCCGATGGAGCAGAACGGCCGAAATGTCGTGATAACAATAAAGATGGGGATAATAGTCTACTGGTAAGTAGTGTAAATAATGATAGTTCTTCTTCCCAAAAATTTCAGGGAGAAATTATTAATTCTACATTCTGAATTTCTATGATGGATTCAATGCATGTATCTTCCCTACTCGCATTTTTATTCCAGACTTACGGGCATATCAAGCTGAAACACTGGTTCCATATGATCACCGAAGTTAAGCATGGTCGAGCCTGGTCAGTACCTAAATGGGTGACGAATTGGGAAAAGAAGGTGAGTATGTTTGAATGTGCGGGTGGTGTAGTGGATAATGAAAATGGAAATCTTTTGTATAGGGATAAAATATCGTTGCAGGCAGTGGAGTTTGAACACAGATCACCAGTGATCAAACGCAGGTGATTCCATTTCTAATAAGTAGACCACGTGATCGTAAAGGAAAGGTCTCTATGGGAATTAGCGTGGCGTCTAAGTAATCGCAATTCTCTATATTGTCCTCTATACTATTTCTCTATACTGACCACTCTATGGATTACTATTCGGCGGTTACTACTCTAACAAGTATTACTAGTGCGAGTATTAGTCGAAAGAGTTACTGCTAGTATCTGCGATTCCAAAGTCTCGACTACAACGAGAATTACGAACGTGATAACGAGCATTCATTGACAACGCGAAAGCGTCTGATATCACAAAAAAAATCGAAGGGCCGAGTTCTAATTCCAGTTGTGTTCGAGATATTCCCTTACGCTCAAATAATCATGAGAAAAGAATGAATCTACAACTCCTACTCCCAACTATGGGTTAATTAGTAGGAATTGTATCAGTAGATTATTATTATCCCCAAAATATTCTAATGATAAGTATAATGTTCAGTGTAAAATATATTTCTTTTTGGTTTTAAATAAGAGGCAAAAGGTTGATAACCCGTAAAAAGAACAAATCATTCAACAATCAAATAACATGTTACCGAATCCGTACCGGATTCCATAGAATAAAAATAACCTCAGTAAAGGCATGAATCCACCTCTTCTCCCTCCAGAGTTAATAAGTAGGACGCATCAGTAAATAATTATAATCTCCAAAACATTCTTGCAATATAATAATATTTTCGGTCTTTAAACTCTCTGTAAAACGGCGGTAAACCGTAAAAAAACCCAATCAATCAATCGTTCTTACTCTTGATTAGGGGTTCTCAACAGGGGTAAAATTAATCTCCAGGGGGTAAATTTTGGATTTTGAGGAGTGAATTGTGAGCACAGTAAGTTTAGGGTTGGGGAGGAAAACAAATATAGAATTTGGCCTATCTAGTCTGTCACCTTAAAAAGGAGGGGGAATAGCACTCTGATAAATGGTGAAAGGGGTGCATGGGGGCAAGTAAGTTGAGAACCCCTGCTCTAGATCATCGGTTGCAAATGCGCCATTTTATTAAAAACACTGATATATATATATATATATATATATATATATATATATATATATATATATATATATATAAAGAAAAAAACAGACCACTTTAAGGTTCCATTATAATAATTTATTTCACAGAAGCCTTTTTAAAGGACACCAGATCATCAGAGCACTTCCTAAAAAATGAAACGAAAAATATTCTTTTCATCTTTTTGAAGTGCTATCTGATGACCCGGCGTCCTTTAAAAGGGCTCTGAAATAAATTATTATAATGGTCTTAAAGTGGTCTGTTTTTTTTAAAATATTAGCTCTGGATTTACATTGAGCTCTCAGGATTTCATCCTCCTGGGGACTACGCATACAGATTACCAAGTTTTTCATAACTTATATTATATATATATATATATATATATATATATATATATATATATATATATATATATTCGAAAGTTGTTCTTTTTCTTTGTTTCATTTGACTATAATAAACGTTTGTGGACATAGAATATAATGTAGCAGCTGGAAGGGAATTTACTAGGCATCCTCTGGTGAATGCCTCAATTTAACACCTGCCCAACTTACTTTTTGTACCCGACCTCATTATTCCTGGTAACACCATCGTCTACTCGGAATCAGATATTTTGCATGTATTCTAGCCTTAAAAAATATTATTCAATATTTTGGAATATCGAAAGGAAAATACACCTGATATCCAGCTTTGCAACGCAGTTATTTTCCATAGAAGTTCGAATCACTCACAAGTAAGCCGTCTTTGCCAAGGGAAACGTGATATACAAGAATGAACGTTTTGTCGTAACATTTTTGGCACCTTTTTAACCCTTTATCCTTTAAAGAAAACAAACATCCCCTTCCTATTTTGAAAGAAATCGAACCTATTTTTTTTATTACTAAATCTAGTTTTGTAACGCAAACTTAGGCACCTCAAAAATAATTCGGTTGCCACATCATTTGTTAGAAGTCTCTGGAATGTTCCTCCAACGAATTCGGTGACCACATCAATAGTTGGAAGTCTCTTGAATGCTCCACGAACCAATTCTTTGACCACACCAGTTGTTACACTGCTGCAGGTTGTTCCTCAAAACAATTCAGTGACCACGACATTTGTTAGATGTCTCCAGAATTCTCCTCAATCAATTTAGTAGTTAAATTATTTGTTTGAAGTTTCCCGAATGTTTTATAAACAAATTCGGTCGCCAAACCATTTGTTTGAAGTTTCTAGAATGCTTTAGAAATAAGTTTAGTAGTCACACCATTTGGTGAGCATCTCCAAAATTCTCCTCAAACCAAATCATTGACGACACAATTTGTTGGAATACTCCAGAATTTTCCTTAAACTAATTCGGTGGCCATACTGATTGTTTGTCACCTAGAAAATGCTGTTCAAACCAATTTATTGGCTACAAAATTTGCTTGAAGTTTTACCAAATTCACCTCAAGCCAATTCGGCGGCCATACCATTTGTTGAAAAACTCCAGAATGCTCTTCAAGGAAATAAGGTGAACACAACTTTTGTTTGAAGTTTCTATAATTCTCAAAAAATTGGTTAGATGTCTCCAGAGGGCTCCCCAAAACAATTTGCTAGACACACCATTTACTGGAATCTCCAGGATGCTCCACAAGCAAATACGGTGACAACACCTTTTCTTGGATGTCTCACGCCTTTTGTTGGGTATCTTCATAATGCTCCTCAAACAAATTCAGTGGATTCAACGTTTGTGTGAAGCCAACAGAATGATTCTCAAACCAATTCAGAGGCTACACCATTTGTTTGATGTCTCCCGATTTCTCTTAAAGCCAAACCTCTGGTCGTCCGGTCACCTTTCTGCTATTTTAATCCGTCTTTATTGGGGTTCACTGAGTCTATCGTGAATATGAGACAAAAGTTCACAAGTCAGTGGATCATAGCATGTACCCGTCAATGATGTACTTAAGCGAATCATCTGATCCAGCACACTATTATGGACCCATGTTATCCCAGTCAGTCTCGCTTGTCTTGTAAAATGAAGAATTCTAAACAAATGATCTTGATGACGAATATAAAAGAACCATAGTAGGTCACTGAGCTGTCTCCAGTTGGTGGTAATCACATTTATCAGCTATTCATGTTAAACACATGACACCGTAGATCGAGGGATGTCTAAAGGCAACCATAATTTCAGAAATGTAACGTCGTATAAATCTGTTGATGTCTAAATGTGAATGCAAAAAAAACAAACAAAAACAACTTATACCAAAGCTACATAAAACCACTTCATTCTTAAGAAGACTAAGTAAAATCTCATGATCAAAAGTAATAGAAAGTTTATTTAAAATACGAAAACACAGAATCAAAGAAGAACAGACGACAGAAAAATATACAAAAGCAATGAATAAATTAAATATATGAATGAAGAAAATAACAAGTATTAAATATATAAAAAGCAACTTGAAGTCATGAGCATAAATAAACTTGAACCTTAAACACAAGTGCAAAGGCCCGGTTTCACCTTTCTTCCGATTTCCCTCAATTCCACACTATCTATATATACAAAGCCCGTTGATGGAGTAGTAGAAAGACTTAATCAGAATATCGTATTTTACAGTTACCAGTCTTGTTCCCAATATACACATCACACCCCATACATTACACACACACACACACACACACACACACACACACACACGCACACATATATATATATATATATATATTGAACAAAAACCGTTGATGAAACCAGATACAGTCTCGAATAAAACCTACAATACAGAAAAAAGAAAGAAAAAAACAGCCGAATTATATATATATATATGTGTGTGTGTGTAAAAATATATAGAAAATATGAAAGAACTCGTTAGGTAAATAATCCAAAGTTCTTTAGTATTTTTGTTATTATTTTTAAAAAAATAGTGCTCGATACAAAAGTAGAGCATAAATATAATTATTTATTTAAAAATATGATTCCAACGCTACATAAGAGTTCTCATGTTTCAAAACAAGAGTCGAAAACTTCAATATAATTATTTGAATGTAATTGAATTAAAGTACTAAGCTCTGTTCCATCTTCAAGCGAAATTTTTACTGGAATAACTTATTCCTGAAATTTACGCGTTTTATAATCATATTCATTATTGAAATTAAGATTACTATGGTAACGGCTAGAGCAATTATTTAAAGAAAAGGGGCGTACGGGTGAGTAATTTGTATCAGTACCTTAGTTACATTCAAAGAGATCAAGTCAGGGTAAGGTTGGGGTGCCTAAATTTAAAGCGGAAGATGACATCGAATAGTCTGGTTGTCTCTGGAGATTTATTTACTTTTTTATTTTTATTTTTTATTTTTCTGAAAGGGTTTTGTGTATATAAAAAAAAAAACTCTCGTAAGTCGCTAACATTTGTTTTTTTGACGACTTCATAAAGGGTTATATTTATTTTATTTTTTTTTTTTTTATAGAGCATTTAAACTCTTTATTTAGACTATAGAATTTAAAAATTAATTTATTGTTTGTTTGATTTTATGCTAATTATTAAATGCGAAAATTTGATGACGTCGGCAAAAAACCGTTAACTCCTGTCTCTTGTTTAATAATTTTTTATTATTTAGAAACTTAATAATGTGTAGTTTTTCATGTAGGCATGAACGGTATGGTCATCCCAAGTTCTAGTTTTGTTTGTAATTTTCCATATTCGAAAATTATAACATAAATATGTTATAAAATCACTACAAAATAGCCATTTCGTTACAACATTTCCAGTGTCTTATCAAGTGAAGACGTTGAATGTAGAATAAAACAAAGAATAATGACACTAATAATAACTTGGGCAATTGTAGGAATCCGAAGAATTGACCATTAAAATTTAACTAGTTCTCTAGTTG